GGTGATGGAAAGCGGGACAATGGGGGGAAGGAATGGGGCGGGTAATGGAAAGCTGGAGAATGGGGCGGGGTGATAGAAGGAGGGAGAATGGGGAGGGGTGATGGAAAGCGGGGGAATGGGGCGGGATGATGGGAAGCGGGAGAATGGGGCGGGGTGATGGAAAGCGGGAGAATGGGGCGGGTTGATGGAAAGCGGGAGAATGGGGCAGGGAGATGGAAAGCGGGAGAAAAGGGCGGGCTGATGGAAAGCAGGAGAATGGGGCGGGGTGATGGAAGGAGGGAGAATGGGGCGGGGTGATGGAAGGAGGGAGAAGGGGGCGGCGTGATGGAAAGCGGGAGAATGGGGCGGGGTGATGGAAAGCGGGAGAATGGGGCGGGGTGATGGAAGGATGGAAAATGGGGCGGGGTGATGGAAAGCGGGAGAATGTGGCGGGGTGATGGAAAGCCGGAGAATGAGGTGGGGTTATGGGAAGCGGGAGAATGGGGCGGGGTGATGGAAAACGGGAGAATGGGGCGGGGTGATGGAAGGAGGGAGAATAGCGCGGGGTCATGGAAAGCGGGAGAATGGGGCGGGGTGATGGAAGGAGGGAGAATGGGGCGGGGTGATGGAAAGCAGGAGAATGGGGCGCGGTGATCGAAAGCGGGAGAATGGGGCGGTGTGATGGAAAGCGGGAGCATGGGGCGGGGTGATGGAAGGAGGTAGAATGAGGCGGGGTGATGGAAGGAGGGAGAATGGGGCGGGGAGATGGAAAGCGGGAGAATGGGGTGGGCTGATGGAAAGCAGGAGAATGGGGCGGGGTGATGGAAGGTGGGAGAATGGGGCGGGGTGATGGAAAGCGGTAGAATGGGGCGGGGTGATGGAAAGCGGGAGCATGGGGCGGGGTGATGGAAGGAGGGAGAATGGGGCGGGGAGATGGAAAGCGGGATAATGGGGCGGGGTGATGGAAAGCGGGAGAATGGGGCGGGGTGATGGAAAGCGGGAGAATGGGGTGGGGTGATCGAAAGCGGGAGAATGAGGCGGGGTGATGGAAAGCAGGAGAATGGGGCGGGGTGATGGAAGGCGGGAGAATGGGGCGGGGTGATGGAAAGCGGGAGAATGGGGCGGGCTGATGGAAAGCGGGAGAATAGGGCGGGGTGATGGAAGGAGGGATAAAGGGGCGGGGTGATGGAAGGAGGGAGAACGGGGCGGGTGATGGAAGGAGGGAGAATGGGGCGGGGTTATGGAAAGCGGGAGAATGGGGCGGGGTGATGGAAAGCGGGAGAATGGGGCGGGGTGATGGAAGGAGGGAGAATGGGGCGGGGTGATGGAAAGCGGGAGATTGGGGCAGGGTGATGGAAAGCGTGAGAATGGGGCAGGGTGATAGAAAGCGGGAAAATGGGGCAGGGTGATGGAAAGTGGGAGAATGGGGCTGGGTGATGGAAAGCGGGAGAATGGGGCGGGGTGATGGAAAGCGGGAGAATGGGGCGGGGTGATGGAAGCAGGGAGAATGAGGCGGGGTGATGGAAGGAGGGAGAATGGGGCGGGGTGATGGAAAGCGGGAGAATGGTGCGGGGTGATGGAAAGCGGGAGAATGGGGCGGGGTGTTGGAAAGCGGGAGAATGGGGCGGGGTGATGAAAAGCGGGAGAATGGGGCGGGGTGATGGAAAGTGGGAGAATGGGGCGGGGTGATGGAAAGCGGGAGAATGGGGCGGATGATGGAAAGCGGGTGAATGGGGCTGGGTGATGGAAAGCAGGAGAATGGGGCGGGGTGATGGAAAGCGGGAGAATGGGGCGTGTAATGGAAAGCGGGAGAATGGGGCGGGGTGATGGAAGGAGGGAGAATGGGGAGGGGTGATGGAAAGCGGGGGAATGGGGCGGGATGATGGGAAGCGGGAGAATGGGGCGGGGTGATGGAAAGCGGGAGAATTGGGCGGGGTGATGGAAAGCGGGAGAATGGGGCAGGGAGATGGAAAGCGGGAGAAAGGGGCGGGGTGATGGAAAGCGGGAGAATGGGGCGGGCTGATGGAAAGCGGGAGAATGGGGCGGGGTGATGGAAGGAGGGAGAATGGGGCGGGGTGATGGAAGGAGGGAGAAGGGGGCGGGGTGATGGAAAGCGGAAGAATGGCGCGGGGTGATGGAAAGCGGGAGAATGGGGCAGGGTGATGGAAAGCGGGAGAATGGGGCGGGGTGATGGAAAGTGGGAGAATGGTGCGGGGTGATGGAAAGTGGAGGAATGGGGCAGGGTGATGGAAAGCGGGAGAATGGGGCGGGGTGAAGGAAGGAGGGAGAATGGGGCGGGGTGATGGAAGGAGGAAGAAGGGGGCGAGGTGATGGAAATCGAGAGAATGGGCCGGGGTGTTGGAAAGCGGGAGAATGGGGCGGGGTGATGAAAAGCGGGAGAATGGGGCGGGGTGATGGAAAGCGGGAGAATGGGGCGGTGTGATGGAAAGCGGGAGAATGGGGCGGGTGATGGAAAGCGGGTGAATGGGGCAGGGTGATGGAAAGCGGGAGAATGGGGCGAGGTGATGGAAATCGAGAGAATGGGCCGGGGTGTTGGAAAGCGGGAGAATGGGGCGGGGTGATGAAAAGCGGGAGAATGGGGCGGGGTGATGGAAAGCGGGAGAATGGGGCGAGGTGATGGAAAGCGGGAGAATGGGGCAGGTGATGGAAAGCGGGAGAATGGGGCGGGAGATGGAAAGCGGGAGAAAGGGGCGGGGTGATGGAAGGAGGGAGAATGGGGAGGGGTGATGGAAAGCTTGGGAATGGGGCGGGAAAATGGGAAGCGGAAGAATGGGGCGGGGTGATGGAAAGCGGGAGAATGGGGCGGTCTGATGGAAAGCGGGAGAATGGGGCGGGGAGATGGAAAGCGGGAGAAAGGGGCAGGGTGATGGAAAGCGGGAGAATGGGGCGGGCTGATGGAAAGCGGGAGAATGGGGCGGGGTGATGGAAGGAGGGAGAATGGGGCGGGGTGATGGAAGGAGAGAGAAGGGGGCGGGGTGATGGAAAGTGGGAAAATGTGGCGGGGTGATGGAAAGCGGGAGAATGGGGTGGGGTTATGGGAAGCGGGAGAATGGCGCGGGGTGATGGAAAGCGGGAGAATGGAGCGGGGTGATGGAATGAGGGAGAGAGGGGCGGGGTGATGGAAGGAGGGAGAATGGGGCGGGGTGATGGAAAGCGGGAGAATGGGGCGGGGTGATGGAAGGAGGGAGAATGGGGCGGGGTGATGGAAAGCGGGAGAATGGGTCGGGGTGATGGAAAGCGGGAGAATGGGGCGGGGTGATGGAAAGTGAGAGAATGGGGCGGGGTGATAGAAGGAGGGAGAATGGGGAGGGGTGATGGAAAGCGGGGGAATGGGGCGGGATGATGGGAAGCGGAAGAATGGGGCGGGGTGATGGAAGGCGGGAGAATGGGGCGGGGTGATGGAAAGCCGGAGAATGGGGCGGGGAGATGGAAAGCGGGAGAAAGGGGAGGGGTGATGGAAAGCGGGAGAATGGGGCGAGCTGATGGAAAGCGGGAGAATGGGGCGGGGTGATGGAAGGAGGGAGAATGGGGCGGGGTGATGGAAGGAGAGAGAAGGGGGCGGGTTGATGGAAAGTGGAAGATTGTGGCGGGGTGATGGAAAGCGTGAGAATGGGGTGGGGTTATGGGAAGCGGGAGAATGGGGCGGGGTGATGGAAAGCGGGAGAATGGGGCGGGGTGATGGAAGGAGGGAGAATGGGGCGGGGTGATGGAAGGAGGGAGAATGGGGCGGGGTGATGGAAAGCGGGAGAATGGGGCGGGGTGATGGAAGAGGGGAGAATGGGGAGGGGTGATGGAAAGCGGGGGAATGGGGCGGGATGATGGGAAGCGGGAGAATGGGGCGGGGTGATGGAAAGCGGGAAAATGGGGCGGGGTGATGGAAAGCGGGAGAATGGGGCGGGGTGATGGAAAGCAGAAGAATGGGGCGGGGTGATGGAAAGCGGGAGAATGGGGCGAGGTGATGGAAAGCGGGAGAATGGGGCGGGTGATAAAAAGCGGGAGAATGGGGCGGGGAGATGGAAGGCGGGAGAATGGGGCGGGGTGATGGAAGGCAGGAGAATGGGGCGGGGTGATGGAAGGAGGGAGAATGGGGTGGGGTGTTGGGAAGAGGGAGATTGGGGCGGAGTGATGGAAAGCAGGAGAATGGGGCGGGGTGATGGAAAGCGGGAGAATGGGGCGGGGTGATGGAAAGCGGGAGAATGGGGCGGGGTGATGGATAGCGGGAGAATGGGGTGGGGTGATGGAAAGCGGGAGAATGGGGCGGAGTGATGGAAAGCGGGAGAATGGGGCGGGGTGATGGAAGGAGGGATAATGGGGCGGGGTGATGGAAGGCGGGAGAATGGGGCGAGGTGGTGGAAAGCGGGAGAATGGGGCGGGGTGATGGAAAGCAGGAGAATGGGAAGGGGTGATGTAAGGAGGGAGAATGGGGCGGGGTGATGGAAGGAGGGAGAATGGGGCGGGGTGATGGATGGAGGGAGAATGGGGCGGGGTGATAGAAAGCGGGAGAATGGGGCGGGGTGATGGAAAGCGGGAGAATGGGGCGGGGTGATGGAAAGCGTAAGAATGAGGCGGGGTGATGGAAAGCGGGAGAATGGGACTGGGTGATGGAAAGCGGGAGAAGGGGGCAGAGTGATGGAAAGCGGGAGAGTGGGGCGGGGTGATGGAAAGCGGGAGAATGGGGCAGGGTGATGGAACGCGGGAGAATGGGGCGGGTTGATGGAAAGCGGGAGAATGGGGCGGGGTGATGGAAAGCGGGAGAATGGGGTGGGGTGATGGAAAGCGGGAGAATGGGGCGGGGTGATGGAAAGCGGGAGAATGGGGTGGGGTGATGGAAAGCGGGAGAATGGGGCGGAGTGATGGAAAGCGGGAGAATGGGGCGGGGTGATGGAAGGAGGGAGAATGGGGCGGGGTGATGGAAGGCGGGAGAATGGGGCGAGGTGGTGGAAAGCGGGAGAATGGGGCGGGGTGATGGAAGGAGGGAGAATGGGGCGGGGTGATGGAAGGAGGGAGAATGGGGCAGGGTGATGGATGGAGGGAGAATGGGGCGGGGTGATAGAAAGCGGGAGAATGGGGCGGGGTGATGGAAAGCGGGAGAATGGGGCGGGGTGATGGAAAGCGGGAGAATGGGGCGGGGTGATGGAAAGCGGGAGAATGGGACGCGGTGATTGAAAGCGGGAGAATGGGGCAGGGTGATGGAAAGCGGGAGAGTGGGGCGGGGTGATGGAAAGGGGGAGAATGGGGCGGGGTGATGGAAAGCGGGAGAATGGGGCGGGTTGATGGAAAGCGGGAGAATGGGGCGGGGTAATGGAAAGCGGGAGAATAAGGTGGGGTGATGGAAGAAGGGAGAATGAGGCGGGGTGATGGAAAGCGGGAGAATGGGGCGGGGTTATGGAAAGCGGGAGAATGGGGCAGGATGATGGAAAGCGGGAGAATGGGGAGGGGTGATGGAAAGCGGGCGAATGGGGCGGGGTGATGGAAGGCAAGAGAATCTGGCGGGGTGATGTAAGGAGGGAAAATGGGGCGGGGTGATGGAAGGAGGGAGAATGGGGCGGGGTGATGGAAGGAGGGAGAGTGGGGAGGGGTGATAGAAAGCGGGAGAATGGGGCGGGGTGATGGAAAGCGGGGGAATGGGGCGGGGTGATGGAAAGCAGGAGAATGGGGCGGGGTGATGGAAAGCGGGAGAATGGGATGGGGTGATGGAAAGCGGGAGAATGGGGCGTGGTGATGGAAAGCGGGGGAATGGGGCGGGGTGATGGAAAGCGGGAGAATGGGGCGGGGTGATGGAAAGCGGGAGAATGGGGCAGGGTGATGGAAAGCGGGAGAATGGGGCAGAATAATGGAAAGCGGGAGAATAAGGCGGGTTGATGGAAGGAGGGAGAATGGGGCGGGGTGATGGAAAGCGGGAGAATGGGGCGGGGTGATGGAAAGCGGGAGAATGGGGCAGGATGATGGAAAGCGGGAGAATGGGGCAGGATGATGGAAAGCGGGAGAATGGGGCGGGATGATGGAAGGCAAGAGAATTGGGCGGGGTGATGGAAGGAGGGAAAATGGGGCGGGGTGATGGAAGGAGGGAGAATGGGACGGGGTGATGGAAAGCAGTTACTGAAAGAGTTACTTTCATCTCACCATCTGATGAAAGAGTTACTTTCATCTCACCATCTGATCAATAATAACTTTCATCTCACTATCTGACGAAAGAGTTACTTTCATCTCACCATCTGATGGAAGAGTTACTTTCATCTCACCATCTGACGAATAATAACTTTCATCTCACCATCTGATGAAAGAGTTACTTTCATCTCACCAGCCACGTGATGAAAGAGTTACTTTGAGACGTCAGGAAATAACACGTTTATTACCAATCACCAGGTTTCAACCACCAGTCTCATCATCCCATCCCACAGTCGATGCAGTTGAGCAGAATCTCTCCCGCTTTCCATCACCCCGCCCCATTCCCCTGTTTTCCATCACCCCGCCCCATTCTCCCGCTTTCCATCACCCCGCCCTATTCTCCCGCTTTCCATCACCCGGCCCCATTCTCCCTCTTTCCATCACCCCGTCCCATTCTCTCGCTTTCCATCACCCCGCCCCATTCTCTCGCTTTCCATCACTCTGCCCCATTCTACCTCTTTCCATCACCCCGCCCCATTCTCCCTCTTTCCATCACCCCGCCTCATTCTCCCTCTTTCCATCACCCCGCCCCATTCTCCCTCTTTCCATCACCCCGCCCCATTCTCCCGCTTTCCATCACCCCGCCCCATTCTCCCGCATTCCATCACCCCGCCCCATTCTCCCTCTTTCCATCAACCCGCCCCATTCTCCCGCTTTCTATCACCCCGCCCCATTTTCCCGCTTTCCATCACCCCGCCCCATTCTCCCGATTTCCTACACCCCTCCCCATTCTCCAACTTTCCATCACCCCGCCTCATTCTCCCGCTTTCCATCACTCCACCCCATTCTCCCGCTTTCCATCACCCCGCCCCATTCTCCCGCTTTCCATCACCCTGCCCCATTCTCCCGCTTCCCATCACCCCGGCCCATTCTCCCGCTTTCCATCACCCCGCCCCATTCTCCCGCTTTCCATCACCCCGCCCCATTCTCCCTCCTTCCGTCACCCCGCCTCATTCTCCCGCTTTCCATCACCCCGCCCCATTCTACCGCTTTCCATCACCCCGCCGCGTTCTCCCGCTTTCCATCACCCAGCCACATTCTCCCACTTTCCATCAGCCCGCCCCATTCTCCCTCCTTCCATCGCCCTGCCCCATTCTCCCTCCTTCCATCATCCCGCCCCATTCTCCCTCCTTCCATCACCTCGCCCCATTTTCCCGCTTTCTATCAGCCCGCCCCATTCCACCACTTTCCATCACCCCGCCCCATTCTCCAGCTTTCCATAACCCGCCCCATTCTCCCGCTTTCCATCACCCCGCCCCATTCTCCCGCTTTCCATCACCCCACCCCATTCTCCCGCTTTCCTTCACCCCACCCCATATTCCCGCTTTCCATCACCCCGCCCCATTCTCCAGCTTTCCATCAGCCCGCCCCATTCTCCCTCCTTCCATCGCCCTGCCCCATTCTCCCTCCTTCCATCATCCCGCCCCATTCTCCCTCCTTCCATCACCTCGCCCCATTTTCCCGCTTTCTATCAGCCCGCCCCATTCCACCACTTTCCATCACCCCGCCCCATTCTCCAGCTTTCCATAACCCGCCCCATTCTCCCGCTTTCCATCACCCCGCCCCATTCTCCCGCTTTCCATCACCCCACCCCATTCTCCCGCTTTCCTTCACCCCACCCCATATTCCCGCTTTCCATCACCCCGCCCCATTCTCCAGCTTTCCATCACCCCGCCTCATTCTCCCGATTCCCATCAACCCGCCCCATTCTCCCGCTTTCTATCACCCGTCCCCATTCTCCCTCCTTCCATCACCCCGCCCCATTCTCCCGCTTTCCATCACCCCGCCCCATTCTACCACTTTCCATCACCTCGCCCCTTTCTCCCGCTTTCCATCACCCCGCCCCATTCTCCCGCTTTCCATCTCCCCGCCCCATTCTCCCTCCTTCCATCACCCCGCCTCATTCTACCTCCTTCCATCACCCCGCCCCATGCTCCCCCTTTCCATCACCCCGCCCCATTCTCCCGCATTCCATCACCCCGCCCCATTCTCCCTCCTTCCATCACCCCGCCCCATTCTGCCGCTTTCCATCACTCCGCCCCATTTTCCCGCTTTCCATCACCGCGCCCCATTCTCCCGCTTTCCATCACCCCGCCCCATTCTCCCGCTTTCCATCACCCCGCCCCATTCTCCCTCCTTCCATCACCCCGCCCCATCCTCCCGCTTTCCATCACCCCGCCCCATTCTCCCTCCTTCCATCACCCCGCCCCATTCTCCCGCTTTCCATCACCCCGCGCTATTCTCCCTCCTTCCATCACCCCGCCCCATTCTCCCGCTTTCCATCACCCCGCCCCATTCTCCCGCTTCCCATAACCCCACCTCATTCTCCCGCTTTCCATCACCCCGCCACATTCTCCCGCTTTCCATCACCCCGCCCCATTCTCCTTCCTTCCATCACCCCGCCCCATTCTCCCGCTTTCCATCACCCTGCCCCATTCTCCCGCTTCCCATCACCCCGGCCCATTCTCCCGCTTTCCATCACCCCGCCCCATTCTCTCGCTTTCCATCACCCCGCCCCATTCTCCCTCCTTCCATCACCCCGCCTCATTCTCCCGCTTTCCATCACCCCGCCCCATTCTCCCGCTTTCCATCACCCCGCCGCATTCTCCCGCTTTCCATCACCCAGCCACATTCTCCCACTTTCCATCACCCCACCCCATATTCCCGCTTTCCATCACCCCGCCCCATTCTCCAGCTTTCCATCAGCCGCCCCATTCTCCCGCTTTCCATCACCCCGCCTCATTCTCCCGATTCCCATCAACCCGCCCCATTCTCCCGCTTTCCATCACCCCGCCCCATTCTACCACTTTCCATCACCTCGCCCCTTTCTCCCGCTTTCCATCACCCCGCCCCATTCTCCCGCTTTCCATCTCCCCGCCCCATTCTCCCTCCTTCCATCACCCCGCCTCATTCTACCTCCTTCCATCACCCCGCCCCATGCTCCCCCTTTCCATCACCCCGCCCCATTCTCCCACATTCCATCACCCCGCCCCATTCTCCCTCCTTCCATCACCCCGCCCCATTCTGCCGCTTTCCATCACTCCGCCCCATTCTCCCGCTTTCCATCACCGCGCCCCATTCTCCCGCTTTCCATCACCCCGCCCCATTCTCCCGCTTTCCATCACCCCGCCCCATTCTCCCTCCTTCCATCACCCCGCCCCATCCTCCCGCTTTCCATCACCCCGCCCCATTCTCCCTCCTTCCATCACCCCGCCCCATTCTCCCGCTTTCCATCACCCCGCGCTATTCTCCCTCCTTCCATCACCCCGCCCCATTCTCCCGCTTTCCATCACCCCGCCCCATTCTCCCGCTTCCCATAACCCCACCTCATTCTCCCGCTTTCCATCACCCCGCCACATTCTCCCGCTTTCCATCACCCCGCCCCATTCTCCTTCCTTCCATCACCCCGCCCCATTCTCCCGCTTTCCATCACCCCGCCCCATTCTCCCGCTTTCCATCACGCCGCCCCCTTCTCCCTCCTTCCATCACCCCGCCCCATTCTCCTTCCTTCCATCACCCCGCCCCATTCTCCCGCTTTCCATCAGCCCGCCCCTTTCTCCCGCTTTCCATCTCCATGCCCCATTCTCCCGCTTTCCGTCAACCCGCCCCATTCTCCCGCTTTCCATCACCCCGCCCCATTCTCCTGCTTCCCATCATCCCGCCCCATTCCCCCGCTTTCCAACACCCCTCCCCATACTCTCGCTTTCCATCACCCCGCCCCATTCTCCCGCTTTCCATCACCCCGCTCCATTCTCCTGCTTTCCATCACCCCGCCTCATTCTACCTCCTTCCATCACCCCGCCCCATTCTCCCGCTTTCCATAACCCCGCCCCATTGTCCCACTTTCCATCACCCCGCCCCATTCTCCCGCTTTCCATCACCACGCCCAATTCTCCCGCTTTCCATTACCCGCCCCATTCTCCCGCTTTCCATCACCTCGCCCCATCTCCCGCTTTCCATCACCCCGCCCTATTCTTCTGCTTTCCATCACCCCGCCCCATTCTCCTGCTTTCCATCACCCCGCCCCATTCACCCGCTTTCCATCACCCGCCCCATTCTCCTGCTTTCCATCACCCCGCCCCATTCTCCCACTTTCCATCACCCCGTTCTCCCGCTTTTCATCACCCCGCCCCATTCTCCCGCTTTCCAACACCCCGCCCCATTCTCCCGCTTTCCATCACCCCGCTCCATTCTCCCGCTTTCCATCACTCCGCCCCATTCTCCCGCTTTCCATCACCCCGCCCCATTCTCCTGCTTTTCATCTTCCCGCCCCATTCTCCCTCCTTCCATCACTCCGCCTCATTATCCCTCCTTCCATCACCCCGCCCCATTCTCCCGCTTTCCATCACCCCGCCCCATTCTCTGCTTTCGATCACCCAGCCCCATTCTCCTACTTTCCATCACCCCGCCTTATTTTCCCGCTTTCTATCACCCCGCCCCATTCTCACGCTTTCCATCACCATGCCCCAATCTCCCTCCTTCCAACACCCCGCCCCATTCTCCCGCTTTCCATCACCCCGCCCCATTCTCCCGCTTTCCATAAACCCGCCCCATTCTCCCTCCTTCCATCACCCGCCCCATTCTCCCTCCTTCCATCACCCTGCCCCATTCTCCCTCCTTCCATCACCCCGCCCCATTCTCCCGCTTTCCATCAGCCCACCCCATTCTCCCGCTTTCCATCACCCCGCCCCATTCTCCCGCTTTCCATCACCCTGCCCCATTCTCCCGCTTTCGATCACCCCGCCCCATTCTCCCTCTTTCCATCACCCCGCCCCATTCTCCCGCTTTCCATCACCCCACCCCATTCTCCCGCTTTCCATCACCCCGCCCCATTCACCCGCTTTCCATCACCCCGCCCCATTCTCCCGCTTTCCATCACCCCGCCCCATTCTCCCGCTTTCCATCACCACGCCCCATTCTCCCTCCTTCCATCACCCCGCCCCATTCTCCCGCTTTCCATCACCCCGCCCCATTCTCCCTCCTTCCATCACCCCGCCTCATTCTACCTTCTTCCATCACCCCGCCCCATGCTCCCGCTTTCCATCACCTTGCCCCATTCTCCCGCTTTTCATCACCCCGCCCCATTCTCCCACTTTCCATCACCCCGCCCCATTCTCCCGCTTTCCATCACCCCGCCCCATTCTCCCTCCTTCCATCACCCCGCCCCATTCTCCCATCACCCCGCCCCATTCTTCCGCTTTCCATCACCACGTCCCATTCTCCCGCTTTCCATCACCCCACCCCATTCTCCCGCTTTCCATCACCCCGCCCCATTCTCCCGCTTTCCATCACCCCGCCCCATTCTCCCATCACCCCGCCCCATTCTCCCGCTTTCCATCACCACGTCCCATTCTCCCGCTTTCCATCACCCCGCCCCATTCTCCCGCTTTCCATCACTCCGCCCCATTCTCCCGCTTTCCATCACCCCGCTCTATTCTCCTGCTTTCCATCACCCCGCCCCATTCTTCTCCTTCCATCACCCCGCCTCATTCTACCTCCTTCCATCACCCCGCCCCATTCTCCCGCTTTCCATAACCCCGCCCCATTGTCCCACTTTCCATCACCCCGCCCCATTCTCCCGCTTTCCATCACCACGCCCCATTCTCCCGCTTTCCATCACCCCGCCCCATTCTCCCTCCTTCCATCACCCTGCCCCATTCTCCCGCTTTCCGTCACCCCGCCCCATTCTCCCGCTTTCCAAAACCCCGCCCCATTTTCCCGCTTTCCATCACCCCGCCACATTCTCCCACTTTCCATCACCCCGCCCCATTCTCCCTCCTTCCATCAGCCCGCCCCACTCTCCCTCCTTTGATCACCCCGCCCCATTCTCCCGCTTTCCATCAGCCCTCCCCATTCTCCCGCTTTCCATCACCCCGCCCCATTCTCTCGCTTTTCATCACTCCACCCCATTCTCCCGCTTTCCATCACCCCGCCCCCTTCTCCTTCCTTCCATCACCCGGCCCCATTCTCCCTCCTTCCATCACCCCGCCCCATTCTCCCACTTTCTATCTGCCCGCCCCATTCTCCCGCTTTCCATCACCCTGCCCCTTTCTCCCGCTTTGCATCTCCCGGCCCCATTCTCCCGCTTTCCATCACCCCGCCCCATTCTCCCGCTTTCCATCACCCCGCCCCATTCTCCCACTTTCCATCACCCCGCCCCATTCTCCCTCCTTCCATCACCCCGCCTCATTCTACCTCCTTCCATCACCCCGCCCCATGCTCCCGCTTTCCATCACCCCGCCCCATTCTCCCGCTTTTCATCACCCCGCCCCATTCTCCCGCTTTCCATCACCCCGCCCCATTCTCCCGCTTTCCATCACCCCGCCCCATTCTCCCTCCTTCCATCACCCCGCCCCATTCTCCCGCTTTCCATCACCCCGCCCCATGCTCCCGCTTTCCATCACCCCGCCCCATTCTCTCGCTTTCCATCACCACGCCCCATTCTCCCGCTTTCCATCACCCCGCCCCATTCTCCCGCTTTCCATCACTCCGCCCCATTCTCCCGCTTTCCATCACCCCGCCCCATTCTCCCGCTTTCCATCACCCTGCCCCATTCTTCTCCTTCCATCACCCCGCCTCATTCTACCTCCTTCCATCACCCCGCCCCATTCTCCCGCTTTCAATCACCCCGCCCCATTCTCCCGCTTTCCATCACCCCGCCCCATTCTCCCGCTTTCCATCACCACGCCCCATTCTCCCGCTTTCCATCACCCCGCCCCATTCTCCCTCCTTCCATCACCCTGCCCCATTCTCCCGCTTTCCGTCACCCCGCCCCATTCTCCCGCTTTCCATCACCTCGCCCCATTCTTCTGCTTTCCATCAACCCGCCCCATTCTCCCGCTTTCAATCACCCCGCCCCATTCACCCGCATTCCATAACCCGCCCATTCTCCCGCTTTCCATCACCCCGCCCCGTTCTCCCGCTTTCCATCACCCCGCCCCATCCTCCCGCTTTTCATCACCCCGCCCCATTCTCCCGCTTTCCAACACCCCGCCCCGTTCTCCCGCTTTCCATCACTCCGCCCCATTCTCCCGCTTTCCATCACCCCGCCCCATTCTCCCGCTTTCCATCAACCCGCCCCATTCTCCCTCCTTCCATCACCCCGCCTCATTCTCCCTCCTTCCATCACCCCGCCCCATTCTCCCGCTTTCCATCACCCCACCCCATTCTCCTGCTTTCCATCACCCAGCCCCATTCTCGCGCTTTCCATCACCCCGCCCCATTTTCCCGCTTTCCATCACCCCGCCCCATTCTCCCGCTTTCCATCACCCTGCCCCAATCTCCTGCTTTCCATCATCCCGCCCCATTCTCCCTCCTTCCATCACCCCGCCCCATTCTCCCGCTTTCCATCACCCCGCCCCATTCTCCCGCTTTCCATAACCCCGCCCCATTCTCCCTCCTTTCATCACCCGCCCCATTCTCCCTCCTTCCATCACCCCGCCCCATTCTCCCTCCTTCCATCACCCCGCCCCATTCTCCCACTTTCCATCGGCCCGCCCCATTCTCCCGCTTTCCATCACCCCGCCTCATTCTCCCGCTTTCCATCACCCCGCCCCATTCTCCCGCTTTCCATCACCCTGCCCCATTCTCCCGCTTTCCATCAGCCCACCCCATTCTCCCGCTTTCCATCACCCCGCCCCATTCTCCCGCTTTCCATCACCCTGCCCCACTCTCCCTCCTTCCATCACCCCGCCTCATTCTACCTCCTTCCATCACCCCTGTTATAGTCACAGTAGGCTCCAATGTGCCTGAAACGAAAGATAGAGTGCACAGTCGGATTTCTGCACAGTGGCTTCAAACGTTCATAGCGTTTTGGTCACAGCTTCAAATGACTTGATTCAACTTGGATCTGGAGCGTCTTATTGTCGCCTACAACAGGCAATTTAGATCGCACGATTGACACTTGTGGATTGACACCAAGGCTCGGCTCTTCATCACAAACTCATCCTTGAGTTCTTGATGGGTCTGCTGCACACACGTGCGACACATCGAACGTTCGACACAGGACAAAAGAGAAACCGCGCACGACAAAATAGAAACCTCGCGCGAGACACAAACGACCGCGTAACACGCGTCTAGCCATAACTCGCTATTGACTCGACACATACACTCGACATCATGACTCGACATTCACACACAATCATAAGCATTAAATATATATAATCCCATGCCCTCATACCATTTCATAGACACACACACATGCACACACACGGACAACAAGCCGAGTGCAAACCATAGGGTTGCACCAACAAACTCCCCCTCGGATTGTTGGCCTTAGGATATGTTGCTCTGTCAGTTCAGAGCCATCCCAGCCAACTTGCAACACTTCCAATGCTGCTGCTCCACCAGCCTCTTGGTCATCATGTCAGCCGGCTGCCCCGTGGTCTTCACGTAGCGCAACTCAACTTCACCCGCGGTTACCATGCTCCTCCTCCAATGCCACTTCACCCTCATGTGCTTCGTGAGTCCATGCAACACAGGGTTCTTAGCAAGAGCAATGGCACCCTGACTGTCACAATATAGTGGGGTAGGTCCTTGCTGCTCCTCCCCCAATTCAGCCAACAAACGCCGCTGCCACACAATCTCCCGTACGGCACGGAAGAGTGCCATGTACTCGGACTCCACCGAGCTCAAAGCTTGGTCAACCTGCTTCTTGCTCTCCCAAGCAGTTGGGCCTCCACCAACACAGCATATGAAGCCTCCCACACTCTGCCACTACCATCATCAAACCCCTCTGGCTGCGCCATAAAAATCTCCTCCTCAAGGATGCCGTTGAGGAATGCCGTCATAATGTCCATTTGGCTCCCGCGAATAGGGTTCGCAGCGTCGTCGGCTTCACCACAGGGGCAAACAGCTCCTTGAAGTCCACCTTCTCCTTCTGCTGGTACCCCTTGGCTACAAGCCTAGACTTGTAACGCTCGATCTTGCCGTCGGCATCCGACTTGATTTTGAAGAGCCACTTGGACGTTATCGCCGTACGCCCCTCCGGTAGCTCCACCAATTCAAACGTGTCATTCTCCTCGATGCTCTTCAGCTCACTCTCCATGGCCTTCTTCCACTCCTCAGCATCACTACTCTCCAAAGCCTCCTTGAGAGTTGCTGGTTCTCCCGGCATCTCCACCGGAGAGAAGAACGCGAAGGCACACTCCTCGTAGTCACTCTCCTCATCGTCTCCGACCATCATTGCCGCTCCGGCCAGGGCTGTCTTGCCTTGCTTTCCAAGTGCATCATAGGTCAGCCTATTAGGGGGTTGAATTCTCCTCTTCCCCCTTCCTTCCTCCTCAGCTGCAGGGACTTGAAGGCCTTGGCGTTGCTGCGGTGTGGCTCGATTCCGTGGAGCACTCGTGGTACGGGAAGGGAGTGACGGTGCACGCTCGCTCACTTGCTGCACCTCCTCCTCTTCTTCCTCTGCATCAGTGGCCTCCTCTCCCCCATTCACAAGGGAGGATTGCCTCGTGGTTGTGCTGCCGCTGCTCAGCTCCAAAGGCAGCTCCACATGCTCCAAACCGGAACTCTTCACCTCCCCAAACCGCACGCCTATCTTCGCCTCATTCTCCGCCTTCCAATCCTTGTACATGAAGTTCTCCATGAAATTGCAGTCCCTACTCACCAAGAACTTCTTGGTGAATGGGTCCCAAAGAAGCCATCCCTTGCTGTTTTGAGCCATGCCCAAGTGCACGGCCCACACCGCCTTGGCACCAAGCTTGTTGTGCCGAAGATGCTTAGGCACAAGCGCCATGCACATGCACCCGAACACCCGAAGCATATCCACCTTTGGCTTCCTTCCAAGCCACTCCACATAGGGCACCCATTTGTCTGCTCCCACATGAGTCAAGGCTCTGTTCTTGGCCACACATGCGCTCCGCACCGCATCAGGCCAGAAATAGTCGGGTAGCCCGGCTTCAATGAGCAACCCGCGTGCCGCCTCCGTGATTGTGCGGTTCGCTCGCTCAGCGATGCCGTTCATTGCAGGGGAGTATGGCATGGTGAGGGAGTGCCGAATACCATTCTTCTTCAGCCACAACCCAAACTCCTTGCTCAGGAACTCTCCCCCTCGATCGGTGCGGATTGACTTGACTAGACGGTCTTGTTGCCGCTCCACCATCGGGAACCAATCCGTCTTCAACGTTTCAGCCACGTCGCTCTTCTTGGCCAGCACGTACACCCAAGTCATATGGGTGTAGACGTCCACAATAGTGAGGAAGTACTCAGCTCCAGCAGCTCCAAGCTTTAGGGGGCCCACCACGTCCATCACCACCTCATCAAGTGGTGCCTTAGCCGTTGCCTCTGAACTAGAGAATGGGAAACGGGTGAACTTGGCTTGCATGCACGTCGGGCAGCCAAGTACCTCATCGGGCTCCCCCTTCACACGTATGCCAGCAACCATCTCATTCTTCACTAGCTGCTGCAAGATGGGCAGGGCCACATGCCCCATGCGCCGATGCAAGGTGAGCCAATCACACTCCCCCGTAGCCGAAGTTGGATTGGAGAATGCCGCGCTCGCAATAGCGCCCCACATACTCTCTCCGTAGTCCTCCTCCGCTGTTGCCTCGGGGTTCTCCTCACCCTTTTGCTGCTCCTTGGTTGCTGCACCACTCTCCTTAGGTTCACTGAACTTGCTGGTCCCTCCAAGATTGCACTTCTTGGACTCCTTCTCCTTAGCGCGACCGTCCGCGCAATCGCCGCTACCAACCGCTCCACCTTTAGTGCTGACGCTTGCTGCCACTTGCCTCTCCTTAGGCATTGGGACCACAGGGATCTGCCACATCTTGTTGTAGACATCTCTGTCCTCATGAAGGTCCCAAAGAATCCGATCGCCAAGCCTTGCGGTGTAGGTCTTGGCTCCCTTCGAGTTAGTGTCCATGCCGGCCTTTGCCAACCGCCGCACGGAAATCAGGTTTGCAGCAAGGCTGGGCACCCAAAGCACGTTCTTGAGGTCCACCATCTTCCCATCAGCACCCTTGAACATGGCCTTCCCCATGCCTTTCACCTCTGCTCGCTACCCCAAAGCCGATGTGACATGCTTCACCGGTGACGGCTCGAGTTCGGTGAGCAAGTCCGGGCGAGGTGTCATGCTAAAGGTAGCGCCACTATCAATCACCCAATAGTCCAGGGGGTGTAGGGTCACCTTCCCCACAGCTGCTGGCTCCTCAAAGCCTTCATCCTTCTCTGGACCAGCCGGTACTTGCGTCGACACGAAGTAGAATAGACCCGGGTATCGATCGTCGCTCGGGTCCTTGTCGTTGTCTCCGCTCTTCATGTTTGCAGCTCCGCCACCGCGACCGCCACGGCCTCCACGGCCTCTTCCTCTCCCTCCTCCTGCTCCTCTACCCTCTTGGCCTTGAGCAGGGGTCCAACCATCAGGGAGTTTGTAGCAGTCGCGCCACATGTGTCCGCTCTTGTGGCAATAGTGACACTCGCCGTCGAATCGGCCGCGACCGCGTCCGTAGTTCTTGTCGTCGCTGCCGTAACCGCCACTCCCGCGGCCTCCGCCGAAGTTGCTGCCACCAAACCTTCCTCCCCCTCGTCCTCTGCCTCTTCCTCGACCATATCCACGGCCGATGCTCGCTGCCCCAGCGCCATCCGCACTCGCCAATTCACGGCGGCGGAAATCCTCTTGAAGGATAGCTCGCTTCACGTCTTCAAGCGAGAGGCGGGGCAAGTCACGATTAAGGTTGATGATGAGCGAGGACCATGACTCAGGGAGTAGGGCCAGCAACTTGGTCTTCTTTTGGAGCTCACTATAGTTCAAATCAGCTCCCTCAAGCCGCGTCAACAAGTCGAAGAATTTCTGCACCCCTTCTTCAACCGCTTCATCCTCTTCAATTCGTAACGTCGCCATTTGCCGTTCCAACACCACAGCTACCGCCGCTGTTGCAGGAGCGTGTAGACCCTTGAGAGCAGCCCATGCTTTTGGTCCCTTCTCTGGTTCACGCTGGAAAGGCTTGATGTGACGGATTTGGCTGCTCCCCAACGCTTGCCCAAGTAGGAGGTAGCCTTGTGCGCTCTTCCGCACCCACGGGCTCTTCTCCGGGTCGTTCTCGGGACGCTTCTCCATTCCTTCCATCACCTCCAACAGGTCCTAGTGGTCAAATATGTTCTCCATTCTGAAGGACCACTCAGCAAAGTTGTCACCATTGAACTTGTCAAGACCAAACACTCTAGGCTCATCCCTAGATGGGCCAACACTTGGTTGCACGGGCGCCATGGCTGAGTCACGGGGTTGGCCTTGAGCTTGGGCTTCTCCTCTGCCACCAGCACCTCCGCCACCCCTTTCCTCAGGTCCAGCCATTGTCGAAACTGCTCCAAGGGGCTCTGATACCACTTGTTATAGTCACAGTAGGCTCCAATGTGCCTGAAACGAAAGATAGAGTGCACAGTCGGATTTCTGTACAGCGGCTTCAAACGTTCATAGCGTTTTGGTCACAGCTTCAAATGACTTGATTCAACTTGGATCTGGAGCGTCTTATTGTCGCCTACAATAGGCAATTTAGATCGCACGATTTAACCAACTTTTGACGACACAGGGTTGGTTTGAACGAAAGGCACTATGGCAGCCACTATAGTCTTAGAACACAAGATAGGAAGAGTTAGGAAGAGTTACGAGTTGGGAATGACTCCCAGCTCCTACAAACCCCAAGAGCCGAGGTACAGTGATGTGGAACAGTGCCACACTGTCCCCAACCACGAAGGGTCTCGAAACTACCCTTCACTAGGGCCTACACCAAGTGAAATGTTACACTACACAAAGTAATGTAACTATCTTCAATATCTTGAGGTGTACCCTTTTGGCGAGCTTTGAAATCACTTGTGGATTGACACCAAGGCTCGGCTCTTCATCACAAACTCATCCTTGAGTTCTTGATGGGTCTGCTGCACACACCTGCGACACACCGAACGTTCGACACAGGACAAAAGAGAAACCGCGCACGACAAAATAGAAACCGCGCGCGAGACACAAACGACCGCGCAACACGCGTCTAGCCATAACTCGCTATTGACTCGACACATACACTCGACATCATGACTCAACATTCACACACAATTATAAGCATTAAATATATATTATCCCATGCCCTCATACCATTCCATAGACACACACACATGCACGCACACAGACAACAAGCCGAGTGCAAACCATAGGGTTGCACCAACAACCCCGCCCCATTCTCCTGCTTTCCATCACCTCGCCCCATTCTCCCGCTTTCCATCACCCCGCCCCATTCTTCTGCTTTCCATCACCCCGCCCCATTCTCCCGCTTTCCATCAACCCGCCCCATTCACCCGCTTTCCATCACCCTCCCCATTCTCCCGCTTTCCATCACCCCGCCCCATTCTCCCGCTTTCCATCACCCCGCCCCATTCTCCCGCTTTTCATCACCCCGCCCCATTCTCCCGCTTTCCAACACCCCGCCCCATTCTCCCGCTTTCCATCACCTCGCCCCATTCTCCCGCTTTCCATCACTCTGCCCCATTCTCCCGCTTTCCATCACTCCGCCCCATTCTCCCGCTTTCCATCACCCCGCCCCATTCTCCCGCTTTCCATCACCCCGCCCCATTCTCCCTCCTTCCATCACCCCGCCTCATTCTCCCGCTTCCCATCATCCCGCCCCATTCCCCCGCTTTCCATCACCTCCTCCTCCTTCCATCACCCCGCCCCATTCTCCCGAATTCCATCACCCCACCCCATTCTCCCGCTTTCTATCACCCCACCCCATTCTCTCGCTTTCCATCACCCCGCCCTATTCTCCCGCTTTCCATCACCCCGCCCCATTGTCCCACTTTCCATCAACCCAGCCAATTCTCCCGCTTTCCATCTCCCCGCCCCATACTCACGCTTTCCATCACCCCGCCCCATTCTCCCGCTTTCCATCACCCCGCCCCATTCTCCCGCTTTCGATCGCCCCGCCCCATTCTCCCTCCTTCCATCACCCCGCTCCATTCTCCCTCCTTCCATCACCCCGCCCCATTCTCCCTCCTTCCATCACCCCGCCCCATTCTCCCGCTTTCCATCACCCCGCCCCATTCTCCCGCTTTCCATCACCCCACCCCAATCTCCCGCTTTCCATCAGCCCGCCTCATTCTCCCGCTTTCCATCACCCTGCCCCAGTCTCCCGCTTTCCATCACCCCGCCCCATTCTCCCGATTTCCATCACCCCGCCCCATTCTCCCGCTTTCCATCACTCCGCCCCATTCTCCCGCTTTCCATCAGCCCACCCCATTCTCCTGCTTTCCATCACCCCGCCCCATTCTTCTCCTTCCATCACCCCGCCTCATTCTAACTCTTTCCATCACCCCGCCCCATTCTCCCGCTTTCCATCACCCCGCCCCATTCTCCCACTTTCCATCACCCCGCCCCATTCTCCCGCTTTCCATCACCACGCCCCATTCTCCCGCTTTCCATCACCCCGCCCCATTCTCCCTCCTTCCATCACCCTGCCCCATTCTCCCGCTTTCCGTCACCCCGCCCCATTCTCCCGCTTTCCATAACCCCGCCCCATTCTCCCGCTTTCCATCACCCCGCCACATTCTCCCACTTTCCATCACCCCGCCCCATTCTCCCTCCTTCCATCACCCCGCCCCATTCTCCCTCCTTTGATCACCCCGCCCCATTCTCCCGCTTTCCATCAGCCCTCCCCATTCTCCCGCTTTCCATCACCCCGCCCCATTCTCTCACTTTTCATCACCCCACCCCATTCTCCCGCTTTCCATCACCCCGCCCCCTTCTCCCTCCTTCCATCACCCCGCCCCATTCTCCCTCCTTCCATCACCCCGCCCCATTCTCCCACTTTCTATCAGCCCGCCCCATTCTCCCACTTTCCATCACCCCGCCCCATTCTCCCGCTTTCCATCACCACGCCCCATTCTCCCGCTTTCCATCACCCCGCCCCATTCTCCCTCCTTCCATCACCCTGCCCCATTCTCCCGCTTTCCATCACCCCGCCCCATTCTCCCGCTTTCCATAACCCCGCCCCATTCTCCCGCTTTCCATCACCCCGCCACATTCTCCCACTTTCCATCACCCCGCCCCATTCTCCCTCCTTCCATCACCCCGCCCCATTCTCCCTCCTTTGATCACCTCGCCCCATTCTCCCGCTTTCCTTCAGCCCTCCCCATTCTCCCGCTTTCCATCACCCCGCCCCATTCTCTCGCTTTTCATCACCCCACCCCATTCTCCCGCTTTCCATCACCCCGCCCCCTTCTCCCTCCTTCCATCACCCCGCCCCATTCTCCCTCCTTCCATCACCCCACCCCATTCTCCCGCTTTCCATCAATCCGCCCCATTCTCCCGCTTTCCATCACCCCGCCCCATTCTCCCGCTTTCCATCACTCCGCCCCATTCTCCCGCTTTCCATCACCCCGCCCCATTCTCCTGCTTTCCATCACCCCGCCCCATTCTTCTCCTTCCATCACCCCACCTCATTCTACCTCCTTCCATCACCCCGCCCCATTCTCCTGCTTTCCATCACCCCGCCCCATTCTCCCATCACCCCGCCCCATTCTCCCGCTTTCCATCACCACGCCCCATTCTCCCGCTTTCCATCACCCCGCCCCATTCTCCCGCTTTCCATCACTCCGCCCCATTCTCCCGCTTTCCATCACCCCGCCCCATTCTCCTGCTTTCCATCACCCCGCCCCATTCTTCTCCTTCCATCACCCCGCCTCATTCTACCTCCTTCCATCACCCCGCCCCATTCTCCTGCTTTCCATCACCCCGCCCCATTCTCTCGCTTTCCATCACCCCACCCCATTCTCCCGCTTTCCATCACCCCGCCCCCTTCTCCCTCCTTCCATCACCCAACCCCATTCTCCCTCCTTACATCACCCCGCCCCATTCTCCTACTTTCTATCAGCCCGCCCCATTCTCCCGCTTTCCATCTCCCCGCCCCATTCTCCCGCTTTCCATCACCCCGCCCCATTCTCCCGCTTTCCATCACCCCGCCCCATTCTCCCGCTTCCCATCACCCCGCCCCATTCCCCCGCTTTCCATCACCCCTCCCCATTCTCCCGCTTTCCATCACCCCGCCCCATTCTCCCGCTTTCCATCACCCGCCCCATTCTCCCGCTTTCCATCACCTCGCCCCATTCTCCCACTTTCCATCACCTCGCCCCATTATTCTGCTTTCCATCACCCCGCCCCATTCTCCCGCTTTCAATCACCCCGCCCCATTCACCCGCATTCCATAATCCGCCCCATTCTCCCGCTTTCCATCACCCCGCCCCGTTCTTCCGCTTTCCATCACCCCGCCCCATCCTCCCGCTTTTCATCACCCCGCCCCATTCTCCCGCTTTCCAACACCCCGCCTCGTTCTCCCGCTTTCCATCACCCCGCCCCATTCTCCTGCTTTCCATCACCCCGCCCCATTCTCCCGCTTTCCATCACTCCGCCCCATTCTCCCGCTTTCCATCACCCCGCCCCATTCTCCCGCTTTCCATCAACCCGCCCCATTCTCCCTCCTTCCATCACCCCGCCTCATTCTCCCTCCTTCCATCACCCCGCCCCATTCTCCCGCTTTCCATCACCCCGCCCCATTCTCCCGCTTTCCATCACCCTGCCCCAATCTCCCGCTTTCCATCACCCCGCCCCATTCTCCCTCCTTCCATCACCCGCCCCATTCTCCCGCTTTCCATCACCCCGCCCCATTCTCCTGCTTTCCATCACCCCGCCCCATTCTTCTCCTTCCATCACCCCGCCTCATTCTACCTCCTTCCATCACCCCGCCCCATTCTCCTGCTTTCCATCACCCCGCCCCATTCTCTCGCTTTCCATCACCCCACCCCATTCTCCCGCTTTCCATCACCCCGCCCCATTCTCCCGCTTTCCATCACCCCGCCCCATTCTCCTACTTTCTATCAGCCCGCCCCATTCTCCCGCTTTCCATCTCCCCGCCCCATTCTCCCGCTTTCCATCACCCCGCCCCATTCTCCCGCTTTCCATCACCCCGCCCCATTCTCCCGCTTCCCATCATCCCGCCCCATTCCCCCGCTTTCCATCACCCCTCCCCATTCTCCCGCTTTCTATCACCCCGCCCCATTCTCCCGCTTTCCATCACCTGCCCCATTCTCCCGCTTTCCATCACCTCGCCCCATTCTCCCGCTTTCCATCACCTCGCCCCATTATTCTGCTTTCCATCACCCCGCCCCATTCTCCCGCTTTCAATCACCCCGCCCCATTCACCCGCATTCCATAACCCGCCCCATTCTCCCGCTTTCCATCACCCCGCCCCGTTCTCCCGCTTTCCATCACCCCGCCCCATCCTCCCGCTTTTCATCACCCCGCCCCATTCTCCCGCTTTCCAACACCCCGCCTCGTTCTCCCGCTTTCCATCACCCCGCCCCATTCTCCTGCTTTCCATCACCCCGCCCCATTCTCCCGCTTTCCATCACTCCGCCCCATTCTCCCGCTTTCCATCACCCTGCCCCATTCTCCCGCTTTCCATCAACCCGCCTCATTCTCCCTCCTTCCATCACCCCGCCTCATTCTCCCTCCTTCCATCACCCCGCCCCATTCTCCCGCTTTCCATCACCCCGCCCCATTCTCCCGCTTTCCATCACCCTGCCCCAATCTCCCGCTTTCCATCACCCCGCCCCATTCTCCCTCCTTCCATCACCCGCCCCATTCTCCCTCCTTCCATCACCCCGCCCCATTCTCCTGCTTTCCATCACCCCGCCCCATTCTCCCGCTTTCCATCACCCCGCCCCATTCTCCCGCTTTCCATCACCACGCCCCATTCTCCCGCTTTCCATCACCCCGCCCCATTCTCCCTCCTTCCATCACCATGCCCCATTCTCCCGCTTTCCGTCACCCCGCCCCATTCTCCCGCTTTCTATAACCCCGCCCCATTCTCCCGCTTTCCATCAACCCGCCACATTCTCCCACTTTCCATCACCCCGCCCCATTCTCCCTCCTTCCATCACCCCGCCCCATTCTCCCACTTTCAATCACCCCACCCCATTCTCCCTCCTTTGATCACCCCGCCCCATTCTCCCGCTTTCCATCAGCCCTCCCCATTCTCCCGCTTTCCATCACCCCGCCCCATTCTCTCGCTTTCCATCACCCCACCCCATTCTCCCGCTTTCCATCACCCCGCCCCTTCTCCCTCCTTCCATCACCCAACCCCTTCTCCCTCCTTACATCACCTCGCCCCATTATCCTACTTTTCTATCAGCCCGCCCCCATTCTCCCGCTTTCCATCTCCCCGCCCCAGATTCATCACCCTGAACCTTCTCCCAGATTTCCATCACCCCCGCCCCATTCTCCCCTTTCCATCACCCCCGCCCCATTCTCGCCGCTTCCCATCATCCCTCCCCATTCCCCCGCTTTCCATCACCCCTCCCCATTCTCCCGCTTTCCATCACCCGCCCCATTCTGCCCGGCTTCCATCACCCGCCCCCATTCTCACCGCTTTCCATACAACCTCGACCCATTCTCCCGCGTTTCCATCACCCTCTCGCCCCATTATTTTGCTTTCCATCACCCCGCCCCATTCTCCCGCTTTCATCACCGCGCCCCATTCTCCCGCTTTCCATAACCCGCCCCATTCTCCCGCTTTCCATCACCCCGCCCCTTCTCCCGCTTTCCATCACCCCGCCCCATCTCCCGCTTTTCATCACCCCGCCCCATTCTCCCGCTTTCCATCACCCCGCCCCATTCTCCCGCTTTCCATCACCCCGCCCCATTCTCCCGCTTTCCATCACCCCGCCCCATTCTCCCGCTTTCCATCACCCCGCCCCATTCTCCGCTTTCCATCACCCGCCCCATTCTCCCGCTTTCCATCAACCTGCCCCATTCTCCCTCCTTCCATCACCCCGCCCCATTCTCCCTCCTTCCATCACCCCGCCCCATTCTCCCGCTTTCCATCACCCCGCCCCATTCTCCGCTTTCCATCACCCCGCCCATTCTCGCACTTTCCATCACCCCGTCCCATTTTCCCGCTTTCCATCACCCGCCCCATTCTCCCGCTTTCCATCACCCCGCCCCATTCTCCCGCTTTCCATCACCCCGCCCCATTCTCCCTCTTTCCATCACCCCGCCCCATTCTCCCGCTTTCCATCACCTCGCCCCATTCTCCCGCTTTCCATAACCCGCCCCATTCTCCCCCTTTCAT